TGCAATATAACAAAGAGTGAAAAATTTAAGGGGGTCTGAATACTTTCCGTACCCACTGTAGATTAAGGCAAAGCTGAAACCACATTTTGATTATACAACAAAATGCACTGGTGTACATATGAGCTCATTTTTTTCTTTTATGACAAGACTTATTTTACACAGTGCCATAATGGGAAATAAAAAGAAGTAAAAATAAAAAAGCCCGATATTTAAAAAAAAAAAATTAAAAAAATAATTTGTTAGGGAGCAAAAATGATAAAGATCAAGTGATAAAGATAAGTCAAAATAAAAATGTATTTTTGTCAAAAAATGTATTTTTGTCCCATTTACAACCTTAGAACAACTTAAATTTACTTGAAAATCAAAAAAAGATATTAGGCCTACATTATTACATTTAAAAACATAAAAAAGCCATTCGTTTAACAAAATTCAATGAGATTTATGCACTAGGTTAAATTTTCAGAAAGAAAATAATCTGGAAATGGCAACATGTGAACACATTTTCCCCTGTGCACAATTTTCTCGTTCTCATGAGCAAATTTTTCATGCATGCCTGGAAGTTTTCTTGAGCACGTCACTTACGGTGTTCCATAATTACTTCATATAATATGTAAACTTGATTGTTTTTGGTATGTTTAGATTAGGGTTGGGCCGATAGACAATACCAATCGCCGATGGCTGTTAGACATCATGATGTTGAGCCGGCATCGTGAGTATTTCAATACTATCTCTCGCAGTTATATCATTAGGCAATTACACTGTATATAAATTGCGGGCATCAGGGAGCCGCTTATGCCTGGCATTGAGAGAAGGGTATAACTGCAGCCCAAGTAGGTATAACTGCAGACCGGAGATCTCCAAAATGGGGCGTGAACTCCAAAAGTGGGCAGAACCTCCAAAATGGGGCGGGGTCTCTTCGCGCAAAGACTTTCACCATTGGCTCTGGCTTCGGCCAATTGTTATTGACTTACAGTTCAAAATAAAAGTTTATAAATTAAACATTGTTTCTAGTTGATCTAAAATAAAATATGCTATATAAATAAATATTCTCCGTGAGAGCAGAGCCCAAAGCTCGTGGCCAGTGATGTTCGAAGGGTATAACTGCAGCCCGGAGATCTCCAAATGGGGGCGGGAACTCCAAAACGGGGTGGGAGCTCCAAAATAGGGCGTGGCTTCCTCCCATTGACAGACAGACAGGCACATGACACGCATGCGCACTTTTTCTCCCAATCAACTTCAGTGCAAACTCCGCCCCACCGCTGATTCTAAAGATTTTATTGGTTGTGTCAATTAAAGTGTTGATTTCCTACACTATGCTACAAAAAATGCTAACCCCTAAACCTACATCACACCTCACCCTAACCTTAACCAGTGAAATTGACTGCACGTCGGGATTGGTGCTGAACAGCGTGGTAAAGAAAGTTGCAGTTCAGGAGATAAACAGTTAGTAAAATTACACGATATGAGATCGTTCCGTAACTCCCCAACCGGACCTCACC